TGTTTCCTTTCAATGTCTATAGTCGCTCCAAAAGTCACCTCGCATCCCGCCAATCAAACAAAGGTCGAAGGTGAAAACGCAACCATTACATGTGACGTCACTGGAACTCTTCCAATAGTGGTCACGTGGGAAAAAGATGACAGTCCTTTCAATGTTTCGTCAGACGAGAGGTTTCACTACAGTATTGATGGTAAACAGCTCGATATAACAGCAGTCCAACCTTCAGACTCAGGATCGTACGTGTGTGTTGCTGATAATGGTGTACGTGTGAAGTCTTATCCTGGCAGGTTGACTGTCCACAGTAAGTAATTAGCATAAGTATAAGATTGTTATTTAGTTTTCTTTATGATTACTTACACCTCCTGTTATCCTTCTATCTCACTGTTTTAGCAAATCCAGCCATTCTTGCTCATCCAGCCAACCAGACTGCAGTCGAGGGAACCAAGGTCTTTATCAGCTGCCATGCCACAGGGATCCCAATACCCACTATTTGGTGGCAGAAGAACGGAACAAATGTAACATCCCATTCACACGAGACAAAGAGTGGCAATTCTGTTGTTAGTATAATCAACATTACGAGTGTGAACAGAACAAATGAAGGATATTACGTGTGTCTCGTTCACAACAACAAAAAGACAATACAATCAACTCAAGGAATATTAATAGTCAACTGTAAGTACAATAACTTAGGTGTAAAATACTTATTTTATGGCATATTATTGATCAACACAATTGTCTTTCATTCAATACTTAAACCTAAAACAATTACTTCAGAGAATAATAATAAGATATCATGACATTGGTTAATGATTATTATAATGTTGAATTCTTTCGCTTAAGGTGGCTGACTACTTTTCAACATTCGATTTGAGCCCACGATGTGCGCGCGCTCAAGAACCGCTGAATAATCTTCACGATTTTATTGAAGAACCATACGTACACGTTTTAATCTTCAAGAGGGCAAAACCCTATATTTCTTTGTTATTTTCCAGAATAACAGGTAATATCCCATTATTTTTCAAAGTTTAAGACATTTCTGTTTATCAGAACAATGTAAAATATCGTTCTGTTTTGTTTTTATTTTTACTCATTTTTACGATAACTTGCACACCGTAGAACCTGAACACAAGAGGTTTTTCCAATGTCTACAATAGTTTATTAAAACAACTTTTATCAATATCTTATAAATATAGCGTAAGTAACGTGTTCGGAAAAAAATTATTCATCTTTCTTCCTTAGTTTCCGTTTGATACAGAGCATGAATTTCGCTATTTTTCTTCCAAAATTATACTTGAAACGCATGTCATTCCGGAGTGATTATCTCAAAAACAAGCTGGGGACACCCCATTTTTCTTTCCATTTTTGAAATCAGCATTAAATTTCAGGTTAAAGAAGATTCAATTTTCAATTTTCTGTTTATTATTTACCAAGAAGTCAGCCACCTTAGCTGAAACCATATGCTCTTAATCCCTTAAAAGTTTTAAAAAATGATTAGTTTTTAAAGATAACCGCGCCAAGTAAAGACCCATGAAGGTTGTGTGGCACAACTCTTTTATCCAGTTTCAACTAACGCTCTTACTTATCCATAACGTGTCGTAGTTATCCCTACGTGGTCAGTCTATGATATAACCCTATCTATCCTATATACAACTAGAAATACGTGTTTTGTTACTGTTGATTTTGGATAAAAACAGATCAACCAGAATTGATAACCATTCAACCAAATGGAACAAAAGAAGTGACGGAAAACGATAATGTAACATTTACCTGTGCTGTTGGTGGGAAGCCTTCACCGTCCATCCAGTGGCTGAAAAACAACGCTACACTAAACACGACAGCACTTTCAAGGTTCGATGTCTCTGGTGATGGTAGGATTTTAACCATAACTGCTGTTGTTCGAAGTGACGAAGGAAACCGCTTTAGTTGCAATGCAACCAACAAAGTCGGTAGTGTTGTATCATTATCAGCACAGCTTATTGTCAACTGTAAGTACTGCATAGACATGCGCACTTTATACAATGGTTTTGTATTCATTCTGTCAATGATCTATTACATGATCAATCCGTAAGTCTTATATATCATTTTGTATACATTTATGCAGTGTCTTGTTGAAAATTTTTATTGTTTGTGGTGTCCTCCCACTTAAACAGATCGACCAGAATTGATAAGCATTCAACCAAATGGAACAAAAGAAGTGACGGAAAAAGACACAGTAACATTTACCTGTGGTGTTGGTGGGAAGCCTTCACCGTCCATCCAGTGGCTGAAAAACAACGCTGCACTAAACACGACAGCACCTTCAAGGTTCGATGTCTCTGGTGATGGTAGGATTTTAACCATAACTGCTGTGGTACGAAGTGACGAAGGAAACCGCTTTAGTTGCAAAGCAACCAACAAAGTCGGTAGTGTTGTATCATTATCAGCACAGCTTATTGTCAACTGTAAGTACCGAGACTCCCTCCATAAAAATCAACACATGATTTGAGAGTCGTGTGTATAGGATATTTGAACTTAGTAGGGAGTTTGTATGGAGGATACACGGGCCCACGAGCTTCAAGGTTACTGTATAAATAAAAAATATTGGTTTATTTTTTAGAATGACATAAACTGACTTTGTTTTATTTTGTTCCACGTTTTTTGATTCGCTACTCATCTATTCTCACTGAGGATTTTTATTTTATTTTTAGGATCGGTAGTGTAAGTGTTGATTTTTCTTAGCTATTCGCAGCATTTTCTAGCCTTTTGTACTGCATTAGTTTTCACATTTCTTGATGGTGTCTTTTTTGGTATTAAAAACAAAATGATTCACCAAGTTTCCTTCAAAGTCCCAAGTCAACAACCTTGAAGGAAGGTAGCAATCATACACTGACGTGTTTATTCGAAGGAAAAACCGCTGTCTGTTTTAAAAAAACAATGAATCATCATCAGTCCCCACCGTGTGGTGGATGAAAAATGAATATCAAAATAATAGCTTTAATTTTACTAAACATCAGAAAATATTCGTAACTTTTTATTGGTTATTTCTGTGTTAATAAGCAATGATTGACTTGGAAGTCAAATAATTGCTTATTGTTATCACACAGGGTACTAATATTATGATTTGGAATTATAATGTTATAATAAGAAGCTGAGGCGTCGTATGGACTTCGAAGCTGACGGCAATTTAAAAGGCCGATCCGCTAACAAATGTGTGAATTACGCAAGACAATAATGTTATAGTTTGAAAGCATCAGGGGAGACTGGCCGGCCACTTAGACCATAAATACACATTTCCCTTACACTTTGTCGCGCACTAGGCACATCGATTTGAAGGGATATTTTAGGTTATCTCACGCATTGTTTTCCTGGCACGGCTATTGTTGCGTTGATTTTATGGAGCCGTTGTCCGATTGGAAAATCTTGGACTTTAATGATGCTTGCAATAAGCCTGAAGTTTTACCCCCGACTCTATACCATAATAGTTTTTAAAATTCTTTCATGTTAAATTTTTTGATTCCTAAGAGAATACAGAAACAATAGTCATAATTGAAGAACAAAAACAGTGTGAAAAGGATTATGGTCTAGAGACGGGGGTAAAACGTCATCTCGCTTCAGGCTTATTCGCAATACCGTAACCTATTCTTGTATACCCAAATGTTTTGCGAAGTCTCCAAGCACCAGATTAGTACCCAGTTTTCCATTCGTTTTCCATCTAGGGTAATAGGGTTGAGATTAGGAACTGATAAAACTGAGTCATAAATATTACCCAGTCAGCATTTCTCGATTCTACATTCCTTTCTTCTAAGATCCTCCAAAGATATTGTTTCCTCCAACAAGTAAAACAGTAGTAGAGAGAATACAGAATATCTGTATCTCCACCCTCGTCAGTCAGTAATTATTATGGAAAACTTGTATTTTACATTCTGCCTACCTAAATCTTCGTTCTTTTGACATTTTGTTTCTATTAGACCCTCCAAAGATTTTGTTCCCTCCAACAAGTAAAACAGTAGTTGAGAGAAACCATGTATCCCTTACGTGTTACTTGGAAGGCAAACCAGTATCTAATGTAACCTGGTTAAAAGATGGTCACCCAATCAAAGCCGCTAATGACAACAGAATATCTGTATCTCCACCCTCGTCAGTCAGTAATACAACTGCTACGATTACTATTATCAATGTGAACCGTACTGACG